ATTTTTGTCATATTACTTTTACTATAAAGAGATGCTTATTATGTTGTTATTAGGTCAAATCATAAACATGGAAGATGGTTTTAATAAGATACTTCATTCTTGAGCAATAGTATTAGCTGCTTTGATCTAAAATGTATTTGCTCTACTTCAGTAAAATGCAGAGATTTGGACTTTTTTCCCTAAAAGTCTTGACTTCATGTCATGATGTATTTGTTGATTATCAAATGACATAATGAAATATTGTTAACTAGGGTTGTATCAGCTCTCTCTGAGCCATTTGCAGATTTCTGGGAACATGTTATATGTTTGTCACAAAAAAGAATTATTGAACTTTAAAGGGCATGAGTCAGGTGTTTTAAGGCTGGAGTTCAATGGAGAAAACCTACACAAAGGAAACTTCTGAATTGTTTAATTTATTTATTAAATTTATTCCTCTTGATGAATCCTAGGCATGTAAACATTCTGACATGTGAAACAGGTTATCCAGACAGGAAAAAGTAGTTCTGTCCAAATAAACTAAAAAAAATAGATAGATAGATAGATAGATAGCTAGAATAATAGATAGATAGATAGATAGATAGATAGATAGATAGATAGATAGATAGATAGATAGATAGATAGATAGATAGATAGATAGATATAGGTAGATAGATAGATAGATAGATGAATGGATGGACAGAACACCTTTCAATCATGCAATGCTTTGTGAAGAAAGCCTGAAGGCAAGAGGAAAAAAATGGAATTCCAAAATATAAAGGGAAGGCAGGCTTTGAAAACTTAACAATTCCTGTAAATTGTAGATGATCTGATTTATACAAATATGATTATCAAAGAAATTTTCCAATGGGCTCCAGGGCCCATTTCTTTGAAATATGTTGCTTATAGAAGAGTCTTGAAGATGATCTGAATGCGTTTGTCAAAAATATATTTAAGGTTTGAGAGACATGACTAAATAAAACTAACCAGTGTTCTGGAATATAAAGTGCTATTGTGGAACTCACTCTGTAGACCAGACTAGCCTAAAACTTAGAGATCTGTCTGCCTCTGCCTCCCATGTCTGGGTATTATATCACATCCATAGGAAAAGCATAGAAGTCAAGCTCTATAGTATCTAATGACCATCATTCTGCTCCTACTTATATGACATCAACCTTTTCTTTGAGATAATTTGTTACTTGTCTTTCTTCTCTACGTTATTTCACAAACACAATTCTCTTGAACTCCTTTCCTTGTTTTGACAGCTCTCTAAAGTACAACAATGCATTTGTTAGAGATATTTCCAAATATTTGATGTGAGATTTAATTTCTATAAGCAACCCTATTGATATAGCTTTGGGGTGGGGTATAATGCCTTTCCATATTCATTTATTTCAAGAAATTTAAATTTTTATTCTCTATTTCTCTCTTAATACACTGACTATTCAACATAGAGATATTTGTCCATCCATTCATAACAGCAAGGACATGCAATCAGCCTTGATGCCCATCAAAAATGAAGAGACTGTGAAATTATAGTATACACAGTGTGATTTTATTCAGTGGTAAAGATATGAAACTATATATAAACTTTGCAGGAAAACAGATGAAACTGGAAAATGTTATAGTAAATGAAGAAACCTGGTATGTGTATGTATGTGTGTGTGTGTGTGTGTGTGTGTGTGTGTGTGTGTGTGTG